CACGATAAGTTGTTAACTAATTCATTCTTATAATTACGTCGAAATCTCTAATATCTAATAATATTAAATTTACCTCAAATTCTTAATCTGCGACCTCTATAATATATGACTTGTAAACTTATACTGCCCGCCATGTTACCATTTATGGGGGTGGACACTATTAAAGCAAAATCAAGAGACACAGGAACAACACTTAAATATTGTGCAAAGCATGTGAAATAAAAGAATGTGTAGCTCTAGAGTCAATTAAAATATGTGCTATGTTCTTACAAATAAGGTACGTACCCTAAATCACGTCGGGAGCAGCTTCAGCATCTTTAGCTATGATGGCATAAACTTAGCATGGGACTGTTGGTCTAGCTGGCGACTGAGGCTGGGGCAATCACGGATATAATGATCGGTACTTCCACATCTGAAACAGGCATTATTGAGTCGGTAGCACGGGATGTCTCCATGATTCTTGCCACAATGAACACAACTCTGACCTTGTCTGACCAGTAGAGTTTGTAGTTGGGTAGGGTGAGCTACCTTAGGTCTCTTATTCTAGTGACCCTGACTTGGGAGTGACTTTTTGTAGGGGACTGGAGGCTTGGAACTACCTGTTGTCGATGCAGAGGTCCTAATAGTACTCTCAATTAGTTGTGCCTTGACTAGAACCTACTGATAAGTACGAAGCTCAAGCACTACCAAGGGGTTCCTAATCTTTGGATGGAGACCCCACTGAAATCTTTGAGCCATCTTCCTTTCATTATATATAATCTCGGGAGAGTAGCAGCTAAGCTTTGTGAATCTTCTAGCATAATCAGTGACTGAGAGGCTTTCTTGGGTAAGCTGGGCAAACTCTACCTCCTTTTGATGATGAATGTGGTCGAGGAAGTATTTGGCATTAAACACCTCCAAGAAATGTTCCCATGTGATGGGTGTGGGTAGAGTAGTCTGGTTAACTTCCCACCAGTACTCTGCTTCTCCCTTAAGCATAAAGGTGGCGAGGATAACCTTTTGTTCATTAGTCATCCCCAAAACTCTAAAAGACTTTTCAGTCATCTTGAGCCAATTTTTAGCCTCATAGAAAGTCGATGCTCCTGCAAATGAGACTAGATTCACTCTCTTGTCCCTCTCAATATAACTTGGATCCATCACTAATAGAGTTGGGCCCTGTTGAGGTGGAGGATCTGGTAGATCTCCTCTTGCAGGAACAGGGAGAGGATCAGGAAGGTCCCTCTTTTCTTCTCTAGGCTGTTGACCAATAATGAGCCTCTCCACCAGGTTATAAAGACGATCAACATCTTATCGTAATGATTTTATCTGAGAAGATCTGTTCATAGGGGATCGTCCTTGCCTCATTTTTGTTTGCCTACATCACCAAAAAAAAATTTAAGATTTACCCTTTTGAAATTATATTCTCAATTATAGTCTTATCCTTAAGTCTCATGTTCAAGGGATGGTTCCAATGAACGTGGGCTCTGATACCAATTGTAACGGCCCGAACTCTCATCCAGAGTCTTGACTGTATGCACACCATATCATGATAAAATAATCTATAAAAATACTTCATGCAATAAATTTTAAAATAATAAAAGGTACATTCCTTATATACTTAACTCAAAATATTCAATATTCATGAGGCATATCTAAACTCTAAAATAAATACTCACTAAAAATAAAGTAATTAACATTAAGTGTTGTTCGAATTAAAATAAAAATTAAACGATCTCTTAGTAAGTCTTTCACTGTTTAGGAGCGGAAAAGAAATGAATAATACATAGGGTAAGCTTAATATACTTAGTAAGTACCGATCTCCTTCCCTCCCTTCGTATTTTATAGGGAAGGGCAGGAAGAGTCTTGCACGACCCTTCTTCCTCGGTGTTCAAGTCTCATCCTCTGCTTTCTTGGCCAGTGGCAGAGGCATACACACATCTGTCTTTTCACCTTTCCCGATTAAAGGCAAACACACCCTCCAGTTTTTTTTTTCTTTTACCTAAAATGGGGTCGTTTTGGAGTTTCCAAAAATAACATCATTTTGGTATATTACAGAGAAGTTTCACTTAGGAAAAACAAAATGAAAAGCCACTTCTCATTAACTATTTTTTAGTATCTATATAAATATAATTAATGAGGTTAATCAACAACTAATCTAGTTAATCACAAAGTAATTATAACTAACTACAGTTAGTTTGTTTAACTGATCTATTAATTATGGTTAACTCTAATATTGTAAAGATGCAAAGCAGCTCAGCCCTCTAATTTTATTCCCTTTTGTTGAGTATTTCTACTCATAATTTAAACATAAATGCCCTGGGAACAATTTTTTGTTAAAACTCATAAATAAAAAACACTTGTATTTTGTTAATTCAAAGTTTTCCCTTCTCTATATGAGAAGGAAACGTTTGAGGTTTGATGGATGCACCCTCAAACAATAAAGATTTTGTGTCTATATTTTGCCTCCAAATGGCTCAATTAAATTTCCTTCATTCATTACATGACCATGTATAGAAGAGAGAAGAAAATTTCTAACAATTATATATTGATCATAACTTTATCTTAATGCAATACAACTATGTTTAAACTCTATTAATGAAGTAGAAACTTTAAAAAAGAATTGGATTATATATCTTTAATGTCCTACATGAATCGACGACTTCCTTTAACAACATTCAAATTATGCATTCTATGAGCATATAAAACCAACATTCGGACCTTTTTCTATAGTCGTAATTCACTAACTTTGCATATGGCCAAGTATGTTATAAAACTCACATGTCACCTTTTGCTACATAAGATTCCTAAATGCAAGTCTATTATCCATCATGAA